CGGATTAGCGCTATTGATCATCCCGTTATCAGTGAAAAACGATCCAGAAAGACAAGCGGTAAAATTGTTAACACAACCCCGTGGAAAAGTGAGTGATACACCTGTATTCTATCTATGATCTCTCAAATTTGATCCTCAGTAAGGTTGAAATAGTGAGACTGATAGGGATAACCAGAAAAGTTCGAAATATCGATCAAGTGCTTGCTTGCTCTACAGAGTTCACTTATCCTTATCCATACACGAACTGCAACGAATATCAATCTACGTCCATACGTACTCTACATACATACCTTGGGATCGGGACGCTTCAGTCATGTGACCGATCATATGTATTATGTTGTTGTGGTATGCACTGAAAAGATGCACACTGAAAACGAGCTTGTTTAGCAATTTTGTGTTCTCAACAATGATCTCAACTCATTTCAAGCCAAATCAAGATTCGTTTAACGCACTCAAAGGATTCATTCTTAGCCGTTCAAAAACTGAGATAAACGACATGAAACAACAGGCGGCGGACATGGATAAATTGGAAATCGTGTTGTAGGGAAAATTCTGACGCCAGTCCTACATAAAGACCGGTAAAAGTGACCGTTTGATCCACTAAGGGATAGATAGGGCATGGAGTGTTACTGAAAACGGATCTGTCATTAAATGACCTACCAGTTCGTGGGATTTTGCATGCAGGTTCCGCGGATGGACTACGCTCTTCCGTTCGCGGATGGTTTGTCGGGAGCTGACTCTGTGTACCGGGTAGGAAATCACTTTCGGGTAAACGACGCATAGCGCTCAGACAAGCAGTTAACCAGCGTGGATGTACCAGACACTTGCCGTCTTGTTTTGCAGCCAAAACGTCTGCGTACAGATTCGGGTGGGGACTGGGAGTGACTGGTGTTTGGCTCACAGCACGGGACGGTGTATGACCATCATCATTCTGATACTCGGCCACAATGTGCGTGCATATCTAGGCGATAAAAAAGGGATACAGGAGAGATTCGAAAAGAGTAAATCCAATTAACTGAGGCGTTTACATATGTACGGGGTGTGCAGCTATCCGGTTTGAAACCACACCTATCTTAGTGGGAAATTATGTATTTTTTTGCTCCAAATTCTAATATCACCAGCTTGTAGACATGTAAGGTGCCAAAGTAAAAACAATAATAAAAGAAATTGGTGGGATTGGAGTACAACAGAAAGCGACGTGAAAAACAAACAATCTGGGAGAATCAAGACAACAAGAACAATATTTTTTTCAACTCAAACATTTTGATATTTTTGAGGTTGGTCTGGCATTTTCATGGAGCCAATTACTTTAGCAGACAAATCTTACAGGAACCGTACCATTAAGTTCTATTCCGAGGCATTTCTCTCGGCGTTTCTGGCCATCGGCAATCCTTATTCCCTAGGCCCCCACCTGGAACGCAAGCTGCAACCAAGCGCAGCTGATGCTAAGGCCCACTTCTTCGTATCTATACACTAAGTAATGGTTTGACCGCCATGGCGCTTCTTTAGCCTTGCTCAATAAGTACACAAAGAAAGCACAGGGAGATAGACGATGGGAGGGCACACGCAAAACATCACCGAGTCATCGGAGGTGGTGTAAAGCGATTTCTCGTTGCAGAGAACCAGAGCACCAAACGCACGATGACGAACCTCGTCATTCGTCACCCGATGTTCCCGCCAGACACGGACAGTGCTTCAGAGACTTCGGTGGTGAAATACAGAAAGTCGATTAGCATCTTCATCACAGAGGGACCAGGTCTCGCAATCGCAGCGCAGAACACTACGAACCGCGGCGATGTACTCCCTTCTCTTGAGGGAACGTCGGATGTCGTGGCAGCGCGACAGGTGTCGCAGGTTGGTCAACGCTGCTTGAGTTCTTGCTTAACCGTGATGTGATCTCCTTCTCAACACAGCCTCCAGATGCGGTAAAGTTCCCGAGGTAGTTGAAGTTCCCAGCTACTTCCAGCTGATCACCACAGAGGGTAAGTGTAGGCACAGATTCATATTAGCCTAGAACAAGTTAAAAAACTCCGTTTCCTCGGAAGAGTTCACCTCCACCGTTAGTAAGACCGAACAAAGTATCCTGTAGAACATTTTGTATGGCGAAGTTCAAGGGGACTGAGCATGTAGGGCAGCCTTGTTGAATTCCACTGAAGACACCAAAGGGTGGCGAAAGCTGGCTGTTGACTCTAACCCCACCTGAAGTATGATGACACAACTGTCTAAGGATCGACACACTTCTCAGGTACTCCATTTCTAAACAAGCATCCCTATCGATGAAGATCTAGCGAATGGTTTGTTGGAAAGCATAAGGGTGCCGTAGTAACTATCACGGGGGTGGGAATTCGGTCGATACATCCAGGACCAGCGCGGAATCCAGCCTGCTCTTCAAGCATATTGGCTTACGTTGTCATGAGAGAATTAGCACATTCCTAAGCCAGGAGCATTCATATTCCCCATCCGCGTTCAAGTCAAAAATCGCTTTATTCATCCTAATGGATGTATTCTCAACTTATTACACTTCAAGATCATTTATCCTCGCATACAGTCACGAAGAAGAGGAAAAGAAACAGTATCGTAAACTCAAAGGAATAAATTTGTGTAAGCACTGAACCTTTCCTGACCCATTTCATTCACACCCAATACTTGGGTGACCACTTGAACTTCTGATAATAATCCATTTTAGTCGAACACATGTGTGGAGCCAGGATGGAAAACAATGGGGTTGGGATGACCCAGTAACTAGTGCTGGTCATGTTATGTGATGGTATGACTACGAACAACTGAAAACGAGTTTGTTCGTCACGTTGTTTTGTGTTCTCTGTGGCGCTAATCATATTGTTCATTGTTACACTCTTTGTTGTTATTCTATTGATGGTATTATTATATATGGCGTAAAACTCGGCACAAGTGCGCGAAGCTGGTGTAATGGTTATCATGGTTGCCTTCCAAGCAATCGATCCGGGTTCGATTCCCGGGCTTCGCACTTGTTTTCCTGTACCGTCATGTAACATTTCCATTGATGTTAGTCGACTGGATGACGAACCACGATATACATGCGCCGTACTTTTACATGCAACACAAATCAATCTTCTGCTAAGAAGCTTTTTCCAACATGTTTCCAAGTTTTAAACAATCCCAAAGAACCACATTCGTAATAAAGTTTTCCAGATAATACAATTATCCCCTTCGGTATTTCTCGATTCTTGGTATCTTCTCACTTAGTCGGTAACCCATGCATGGCTTGACCGGCTCACATGCAATATCGCACCCAGTCATGTACTTTTCACTAAGTCATACACACACACACACACACACACACACACACACACACACACACACGTACTGTTCACTGATTCAATAGCCCGCGTCTGAGGAAGACACAGACGTCTGCACTTCAGGACGGTGTTACTTAACGGGACCAATACGCTAGGAGAAGAATTTGTAGGATACACTTCAGTTTCTACAGCCATTAACTATGCACTATCGTGCACCGGTTTTGGTTGCTATCCTTCAGCTGTCCATTTGGATGAACATTAGGAGAAAGACAGGAAAGGTTGAAAGTATGATCCAAGAGAAAATTGAAAAGTTCAGTGGACTAATGATACAAAGAAATTGAGAAGATCCACGAACGCCACTGTTTATGACACCCAGCCATATCACTCAATGTTTCTAACCATCGGTTACGATCATCCCGAGGTCCCTATCCAGAGAGTCTAACGGGATCTATGTGACCCAGACTCCTGGTTAGGGTTTTCATACCCTCATTCCAGGTCTTAGCTTTTGGATACACTACATAAGCCAGATGCAGCTCTGTAGCAAAATAACTTGGTATTACAAAGAAAACAGTTTACAATGTTATCTCTATTCGAATGATTCTCTAACACCTTGTCAACACTGGTGCATCTAAAGAAAGATGTCACCTGAGAACCAAGGAAAAGTTTAAGACTGATAATAATGGAACATTGGAGTAGTTTACCATGTTGAAGGAAAAGCGGGGTGAGTTCTGGCGGTGAATGGCATCGTTTGTTGGAATGGGAATGAACTAACACACACAAACACACACCCTTTGTAAAACTTGTACCACTGTATTACAAATTTAGCCCTGGTAAGCCCTATTGATCTTCCTCACAAGCGACTTGGTCAATACTGGCACATTAATTAAAGGACCCAACGTCACCCGTTATTGCTTTCATAACAGAACCACCATCTCTATTTACCCTCGGAGGAGTAATACCTATTTGGCGATCGGTTTCCACAAACATGATTATTAAATAATAAAAAAGAAAAACAAACCGACAAATGTCCTCCACACTCATATTTTACAACCTATTTCGCGAAAACTTTCGCTGATCGTTTCAAACTACTTATAAGTAGGAAGTGTAAAATAGCATCACTTTTCAATAAAAGTGCGGTGCATTCAAGGATGATAACATGCCTCCGAATTCTATGGTATATGGCCATCTTAGCAGCAGTTTTTTCACAGTTGTCAAACTCGTTCTATCGTACCATGACTCCTACTTAACGTAACCATCACATCTTTGGTCTAGTTTTCTCCGTCAGGTCATGTGCCTCTGGACATGCAGCAACCGTTGGTATATTTTGACTACCACCATGACACCACCATGTTCGCTTGGACTCGCATAGGGATCTACCGTTTGCGTTGTCAACACCTCAAGGAAATCAATGTTAAAGGTTTAATAAAACACCATTCAATTCGTTTAGGACTAAGAAGACGGTAAACACTGGGGTTTTGCTTTTGTGGATTAAAGGCTTGGTACTGAGGTGGTATCTCCAGTATCTTCAGTATGGTCAGGGGCAGGTATTTTGGGTTGTGATTGATTACCCTTCTATTGCAGCTAGCCTAGTCTCCATTGAGAAAGCCCTGTTCACTGCCTTAAATTTTAGGAAATGTTCCTCATTAATGAGAGAGAAGAGGCATACGAACCACACTCGTAACGTACTGGCTGTGGAAGTGGTCACTGGCTCGATTTGACATCAAGGTGTATTGGGCACCTTGGACGTTTGCCCCCGT